CAAGGTGACTCTTATACTTCTATATTTTAAAAAACGAAGCCGGCTGTGGACGACCATCAGTTTCAAAAAGACGGCGCTATATGCCATACTCTACAAGGTGCTCATCGTTCTAAACCTAGTATGTACATATATCACTCAGACATGTAAACGAAGTTGATATCTGTTGGTCGGAGCTCGTGGTTTTCGAGATAAAGATTTTGCAGAATATTTACGTCAGCTAGCGGCTACGCAGGCTAGATCATTGTTAGTAGAATGTGGCCTACTGCTATTCCGAAGTGCTTCAGAGATTATGTAAGAAAAAAATTGATTGTATTTTACTTTTCTGCTTGTCTTGTAGATTATTAGGCCATTCCATTTCATAGAATCCATTTTTTGGCTCTTTCGTCATGTTTCTGGTTCCTGTTCTAGTTCTTCCTCAGATGGTCCCATGTTTGACAAACTCAACAACTCTTTCGCCCTTTGTGGCCTGAAGCCCTATTCACTGTTTCTATGCTACTAAGCAAATTTTCGAACGTGGTACGCTTTACGAAGACCTCCGCTTAGTTGTCTGAAGTCAATCTAATCGCAATAGATGCTAGCGGGCACCCCATCAGCAATTTATGATTCGTCCAATCTGCTTCCAGCCGCCAACCTTAACTCTTTCTATTTATTCTTATTACTGAAAACTGCCGGCACGGGTGGGAGTGAAACTCTTAAAGACAAAACAGACATACATTTTATTATATAACTTACTTTCTTACGACCATTTGTCTGGAATTCAAGAAGTCTACGAACAGTTGGCATTTCCAATTAATAACAAATCAGGCATTAAAATTGAATTAGCTGTAAATTCGTGTGGCAAATAACTTTTCCAAAAACTTGTATGCAGAATAAGCAAATCACAAGTACACACGGTTTATGTAGAATGCCTTCAAAACTACAACAAAACAAGAAATGAAGAAGTTAAAAGTGCAAACGATGGCAGCCACATTGTTTGGCAATTTTGACGCTAATTTTCGAATTATAGCCAAAGGCATTTAGTGCTTTACCCACGACGCACATACAGACATGCCACCACCCATCAAAACGCATAAACAAACAAAACAGTTATGATATTTTGCCAAAAATTATATACAAAGGGCTTAATTATAAGAAAACACACAGCCAATCAGTAAAGAGTCGTCAGAATGCTGCTGGTGCAAGACTAGAGTGGGGCTTCCCAGTCAGGAAACTCCGAAATAGTGATGTGGTGGGACGGATTGGAAGACAGTCATGAAAACAGTCATTATATACAGAAGATACAGAAGATAAATAAAATTTGTTTCGAAAGAAATAAGGCGGGCGATGGACAGCTTGGAAAGAAATTACAAGAAATAAATATTCCACTTCTAAAATAAATGAACTATTTAAAAATAAGCAACGGCTAACTCGAAGTAATTTTAATTACAGCCGTCCGTATTTCAGCAATAACGCGCCAAGGCGTCAATCGCCTCGGTCTTATCTGCAAGCGACTTCACATAACCTCACAAAAAATAGTTCAATGGTTTTAAATCGCACGATCTGGGTGGCCACGCCACGTACCCAAAGTTCGCTTCAATAAATTGATTATTTCGTTGGCTGTATGGCAGGTAACGTCGACTTTTTGGAACCCAAAGTCGTCCACATCAACATCCTTCAATTCACGCCCGAAAAACTCATTAATTGGCATTCCCCATATTTCCCCAATATTAAAGCCGGCTGCATTTTTGAGAAAATATGGACCAAGGATTTCCTCGGCTTATATGACACACCCAATAACGGCTTTTTGATGATGTAAAGGCGGCTCAATAATGCCTCGTGGATTGTTATCACCCCAATCAAAAAAAATGAACTTCATCGTTGAAAACAATTTTCTTGTGAAAATCGGGATCGGTGGCCATCTCTTTGGGGCTCTTTCAGCGAACGAGCGACGCTCTTGTCCTGATTACCTTTTTTAAAGGGCTCCATCAACGATACTATTTATGTCATGAGATGTTTTCTTCGACAAGTCTTCTTGGATTAAGCAAACACTAATATTCTTACAAGGTCCCTCATAGTTATGTCAGCTCCCAATGACGTGATAACAAAAACCAAATGTGGCAGATGTTCGACGAACTGCCGGCTCAAATTGTTACTGGATTTTACTAAACTGCGTTCTGTGAGGCAAAACATCAACACAAAAATTCCTAACCAACAGTACTTTGCTGTGTACTTTTTGGTGAGCCACGAGTTCATCAGCTCCTGCCAAGATATATCAATTTCTGCTTTTTACGGAGGAAGGAAAGGGTAAGTGGTGAGTAACAAAAGGATTGTGTGTAGTTTATGCGTTGGAATTGAGACATTTAACCTACGCTACTATAATTCAAGCCGCCGTTTATGGCATTTAAGCGCTGAATCGCGCGGATGTCGTGTGTTTTGAGGTTAAAAACGTGGGGTTACGATAGGAAAACATGATTTTACGACAAGAACAATAGCAAGCGACAACAATTTATATGTAGGTGTGTATGCTATTCTGGTAATTCTAAGGCAATGCTGTACAAACTTATGTATGTATGTATGTACATCTATTTGTTTAAACCATGATGAATTTAGTAGTCATAACTGTTCGCTATTACACTAGCGGCATAAATGGGTAGCCAAATTGGTTTGACAAGGTGCGTTGCGATGAGAAGAGTGAGTGAGGAAAACGTTGCACATAAACGACAGAACAAGTTGGTGTTATGAATAATTAAATATTTTACAGAAATGCAGCCGTGATTTTAACGACGAAAAAGAGTTTGAGAAGCTGACGTTGGAAAATAAAACAGCAAGTTTGCCACAAAAGAAATAATATTCCCTAAAAATAAACTTAAGATATTTTAAGGGAAAATTTAATAACATTTTTTCACTTTGTTTTTATTGTATTTTATTTTTTTTTTTTCTTCGTACTTCAACTGTATTTTCAATTTCACTGCGATTAACAAGCACTGATAATGTGCTCAACGGCTCACTCAACACTAGCACTTCCTGTTACGGTGTCGGTCAATTGTTGTTGCCTTAGCGAAACAATGATAATCTCCGGGTATTATAACGCCTGCTAAACGCGAAACCCCCACTTCGCCAACACTTTGTACCTTAATCCCCAATGACTAGCTAACAACAAAACGATGAGCTGTTTGGTACGTACAGACGACTTTAACAGTTAATGGCCTTTATTTCTCATGCCTTTGAAGTTTAACGCGCGAAATAGGTCTGAAATTAATTTTTTTTTAATTTTCTTTTGTTTCTACCACAAAAGAATAATAAAGTTATTGCAAATAATTACATTTTTGAGCACATTTATGGTGGCAGCAGTAAATAAAGCAAGCAAGAGTACTTAAATTATTTTCCAACTAATTTTACTACACTAATGAAGGGGTTTACCTTTAGAAATAAAGTTTTCTAGTTAACTAAGTTAAAGCTGATACAAATGTACTGCAGGTATCTATGAATGTATGTATCCCAACGAAAATCCAATTCATCAATCTCCAACTTTCATATAACAAAATACGTCAAGATCGTTTTATTGGTGCCCGAAACATCTTTTATGAACCTCCATACATGCATACGAGTATATGTATTTGTATTATATATTCTTGCTCTACCCTACATTACAGATCCTCCTTTCGGTTTTTAATGCACGCAATTAATTTACGCAATTGTCTTCCTCCTGTCTGCTCTATTATTTATTCCTTTTTATCATAATTTAAAAATGTCAATATTTACTCTCAACCCTCGAGTTTACTCTACTGAAAAAATTGCAATTTTCTTTCTTTCTGCACAAACAATATTTTTATTGTTTTCAGAGCGATTGCTTTGGCGCCTGTTGACGATTTATATACACAATACATTGGTGACGTTTCACTTTAGCTTTGTTTTCTGCAATTTTCTGCACCTTTACCACTCAACTCAAATACGAGCATAAGAACATACATATGTATATATCACATAGCATCAAGGCAGAGCAAAGCATCAAAACTTTTGATGGAAGTCATTGCGCCATTTGTTTAGTCTGTTATTGTGCTTTTGTATCAACCTGCTGATGCATATAATTATGGAAATTTAAAATTTACGTAGCAGCAGTTGGTGCCGCGTAAAAATCTGCGTTTGATTGTTGTTGCGCAGCAAAAGAAAGTCAACAAATATTCCATATCCATGATTTTTCATCCAACACTTTCGTAATATATAACAAAAGATATGCTTTTGCTTTTGCACAGTCAACACAAAGTAAATAAGATTTATTCATTTGCCGAAATTAGAGGGAACTTGTCACTGGAAGAACTTATATATATAACTAGGAAAGCGACAGCAAAAAAATACTTGCAGCAGTGCGGAATATCAATCAATTGCCTAGTGGAACTCTATAACTGATCAACTGTAAGGTTATGTAAAATAATAAGTATATCTATCATACCTTTTTTTCTTTCCCATCGGTTTCCGGTTTAATATCACTTCCTCTGTCTCATCAAACCCGCAATAATTTTGCACTCATCGAAGATATTAACGAATTTTCTAAAAACACTATAATATTGCAATTTTAGTTCATAATTAACCGTATATACCCTCAAACTCCGTAAGAATTGAATTGATTTTAAGGAAAGCTTACTACAAATATATTTTTAGCGCTTCTTTTTCCCCTTTCATAATAATATATACATTCCATAGCACTTCAAACTGTTTTTGTTTACCTTCTGAACAGTTAAAGTGCTGCCACTGCTATTTTTTTCTACGCTGCCATTAAAATGAAAATTCAAACTGCTGCGGCTCAATCTCCGACATGTCTAAATTTTTGTTGTCGTTACTTATTATGGAATTACATTTATTTTATTTCAATTAACTTTTTATATATTCATTTGTACATACTTGTTGTCATTTAACTCTTGATAATTTAGCATAATTCAACACTCTTACAAATAAAAAAATATTTGACTTTACTTTATCTTTGTATGGCAACATTTTGTTTCAAACAGCTGTTTACTCTCATTTAAGAAAATGTGCGTAATATTTCTCTTTAGAAAATAAAGGATAGCTTTTATAACAAAATAATAAATGCATTTAAATAAAATAATAGATAAGGTTTTGAATGACATGTGCAGCATTTATAATGAAAAATACTGTGAAAATGCTTGTGTGATTATTAATATTCTGAAGAGAAAATAGCAACCGCTAAATCCTCTAGCAAAATTAACAAGTTGTTCTTTAAAGATAACAAAAGTAGTTTAGAAATAAAGTGTAATTGTAAGATAATAAATTAATAAAGTGTTAAAATGGACACTCCAAAGTTACAACCAATAACAAATAAAATAAAGCATAACAACAGCAATACAAATAATAATCCACATGCGAGCGAAGGTTCAGCCGGCAACAATTATGGAGGCAATGCGCGTTTCAACAACAACGGCGGTGGCGGTGGAAACGGACCAAGTGTAAATGAAGGACCAAATCAGGCCTATGGCTCTGGCGAGTAAGTAGTAAAAAAAATTTATGTACTGGTAATTTTACAAAAAAAAAAAACAAAACATTTAAGACTGTTCATTTCCGTAACATCCTGAATAGTAACTCAAAAATGCTAATTGATTCAGTCGAATACTTTATTTCAATATCATAGATGGAGAGTGAAGAGTTTTCTTTCTGATGAAGAGCAGAGTTGTGGTAAATGTGTTTAATTTTGGCTGGTCACAATGTTAACCGTGTTTAATTTTGGCTGGTCACAATGTTAACCGCAAAACAATCCTCAAAATGGTTAATGGAAATGTTGCGGAGTGACTGACAGTGCTTGGCCGCATAAAATTTCCGGTTAGTACGATGTGTCAGTGTTTATGTATAAACACTATTGTCGTTAAATGTTTTATCGCATTTTTGGAACGGTCGCATGACTTACCATGAGTAAATCCATAAACCCACAATAAACGTAAAATTTTATAAAATGTTTAATAAGAAAAAAGTTGTGTCAAACAAGAAATTTTGACAAAATTGGCAGTCTTATTGGAAATGTGGCGTATGTTTTTATACTAGTAGAAAATAGTATTATAAATACTCCATTCAAGTAATTTATTCAACTGAAAATATATGGAATGCGTGTACGCCGGTACTCATTTAACTGATGAGTAGAGAACATGTCCTTGCATGAACTAAAAATTCAGAAATATGTATGTATGTATAGGTAAACAAGAACTGGAATAACCATACGACATAGATTTGATACCTTTCAGCTCGACTTCTTTAAATAGCAGCTGCAACTCTAATTGTGATATAAAATAAGAACCTTTTACCTAGCAACCATTTTCCTTTTTATAATCAAATTATTAAGTATTTTAATAAAAATGGCAATTAAATATGCTATATTAATTTATTAATTGTATTCAAAATTCACTGCATTTCAACAATAATGAAGTTCTACTTGCTTTATAGCCGTCAAGTGATAAATATATTATACTAATAGTTTTTTTTAATAGTTCTATAAAAAATGAAGATTTATAAAAAAATTTACTTTGCAACAATTTGTCGCTTAGATTTTTAGTAAGTATAACTGAAAAACGAAAATTAGTTTGAAATTCTCACGCCGTATAACCAAGCAAAAGTTTTATTTTTCCTTCTAAATGTTACTAATATTATATTTCATTTTGTGTATTGACGTCGATTCTAGAAGCTTAAGAATCCATTATCGCCACCGCGACCATTGCAACAAGCTTGCTTTGCAATGTTTTGTGGCACATTTGGTCGGCATTGCTTTCTAGTAAAATATAGAAATCCAAACTCAACTTGCGCTGTATAAAAAATAATAGCATATTCTAATTCCTTCCTAACATTTCCTGAGTTTTTAGCGCAACAAACACGATTCAGTAAAGTTTGGTAAAAATTGTTACTGCCCATCTGATCGACGAACAAAAAACCATTAGCCCTGTTCGAAATGTCAAAAGTGCGCTCTCTTGGTGCAAATTTTACTGGCTTTTTGTATCACCAAACGCGGTGCGGCAAAAAGTGGTAACAATTGTTACTGCCCATCAGCCCACCGAACAGCGCTATTAGCACGAGACGGAAACTTGCATGGCTACAACGTTAATATAGCAAACGTGCAAAATATTATTATAATGGGAAACCATCAGCACCGCATAAAAGTTGCTACTTACCATGACCGATCTCCCCACACCTAATTTTAAGAGTAACCTTTAACAGGTCCTTGACTAATTTTATAGCATGTGAGCAAAAGAAAAAAGAAATATGTACATTATTTTATACTGAGATTCTTTTCACGCGCTGCTCAGCCAAAATGCATACTTTATAGGTACTACCTACCACCGCCTGTGCCACTCAGTGTCATCATAATAACATAACTGTGATATTAAAAGCATAAATGTGCCTGCCTTTTTTTTATCTCACACCATCTGCTTTCCATTTTTTTTTTTTTTTTTTTTGATTATCCTCGTTGCTGCGCCAAAAATGCTGCCTCAACATTTTTTCTTTTAAGTGGCTGTGGAGATTTCTACAGCTCATTCGTTACAGGTTACTTGGAGCTTATAAGCTATATATTATATATGGATGTTTGTATGTATGTACATATGTAGTGTTTATGTGAACATTTCCTTGATTTTTTATTTAGAAAATTTTACAGAAATATAAAATATTGCAAGAATATTTGTTGTTATTCGCTCATATGTAAGTGGTTATATCGTCGCTCTTTTATACATAAATACATACTTATATTTGTTTATGTGTAAAATTAATATTCTTTTTTTTTTTTCCTTGGTCACATGTGTTGCCCATCGCCTCTTACGCTAGTCATATCCATGAATTTTCCCGTTTCGATCTGCAGAATGCTATAGCTTTTCAATGTAATAGCAGCTGTTGTGAAAATAAATATTATACATACATATATTGAAAATGGCGAAAACGTGTCGATTTGTTTCCAAACCAAGTGATTTGTAATAGTCTGAGCACTCTATGTATGTGCGTATGCATGTGTATAAGGATATTAACTGCCAACTGTCTTCGATTTGCAAATTTCCCCTGACCCACATACTTAAATACACGCATTTACATGCATACATACACACATACATACGTGCATATACTAGTACATATCAGTGGCATGAAGAGGTAGAAATCATATTAGGCAAATTGTTACTTTAAACCACTTTCCCCTCCTTGAATCTGAGTATCTGAGTCAGTAACTGCCATGCGAGACATCTAGCCAGAGGCAACTTAATTCATCTTGCTAACCAAACAAGCAGCGAAATGACCGAATTGCTTGCGATTAAGACAAAACCACAATTAACTGCGGCTGTAAAAAATTTCAACAGCATGCAAAAAAAAAATTAAAATACAGCAATGAAGAACAAGAAAACACATAAACAATGTTTGTTTGTGTCTAGTGTGCCAATATTTTTTTTTTTTTTTATTTTTTTTTTTTGCTTTCACAAGCTAACAGATTGCGAGCATCTTGACCGCAGGATAAATGTCTGAAGCTACTCTACTATTCGATTTTGTATGAGTTGCTGAACTCAATTTTCCGGCAAATGAGCGTCGCACCGTGGGTTGAGTGCAAATTAGATGGCAGATGAAGTAAAATATGTATGTTGAGTAGCTATGTATATAAAAGGCGTGTGTAAGATATCATATCCACATGCATTTACAAATTTATGTGTGTATGAAAAGTATATTTTTTCATTTTCCTATTAAGCACAACTACACCGTATGCGGACAATTGATTGTTATACGGTGTATAGTTCTGGTGGATAAGGTACTCCATCCACCATGCTATGCAAATCTCAAAGTTTGTGGTTCATCAACTGTAGACTAAACTCAAACTCGTCGCCTAGTCATGTAGTGGGTAGTCATCATTGCAAACATGCTTTACTTGCTAGACTTGCGAAAAGCTCGCTTACGTGCTACAAAAATTCATCTTGACCATCCTGCTTTACCAAGTGTCCTTTTGCATCTCACAATTAAGGTGTGATGATGGCGACTACAATACATTTTTTTGCACATTCCATCATTACAATGTACGATTTTTCATGGCAGTTGAAATATTTTCACTTGCGGCTTGTGGGAATTCAATTTACACGCCCGTTTTTTTTCTATCAGAAAACTCTGCCCTTCCTTCGCCTTGCTGTTACATGAGTTCAACGAGTTCAGACTTTTATCGATAATTGCTAAAACAATTTTAATACATACACGTATGTACGAGTATGTATAAGTGTGTATTTTTTCCTTCAGATGTCAGTTAAAAAAAATTAAAAAATTTGTAACATTTTTCCAAAGCATAACAAAAGGTAATTTATTAAAATTCCTGAGTGTTCAACACACACACACACAAAAGCACACGAAAACAAGAAAACGAAATAAATAGAAAAATCCTGAAATTAACGCAATTAATTTTACATGCCAAAAGAATTAGCGGCGCCACATAACGGTCAACGCTTTTTTTGTGTGTTCTTTGTTTCTTTTTTTTTTCAAAAAAACGGCAAACCAAATTAATAAAAACAAAAAAACCCCAAGAAATTAATAATAAACAAATGACGCTAAAAATCTGTGCAAAAATTCATGCATTTTAAGAGAAAAGGTATGTATGTATGTATGGTACAGAAAAGGTAAGTCACTTATATATGTACGTACCCAAAGCGATACATCGCAGGTACTCACATTAATGTATATACATACCTACCCTAAACTCCATACTTACCGTAAAAATTTTGTGTAGGCGGACACCTTTCCAAAAGTTTAGATTTATTTTTGATTTATTCGCACAGCAGTGGTCACTCAAAAGGTCATTTCGTTTATTATTAACTCATTTATTATCAACCTTAATTTTTTGTTGCATTTATTCCCACCTTACGAATTACTAACTTCTGTACTTAAGTATATGCTTCTGGAATCATGTGGACCAACTTCAGCTGGCTCTTGACTTTCATTTGCACCTTTTGTAGCATATTTGAAGCAGACTTATTTTAAAGTAGCAATTTGACGAAGATACATACGAGGGTGCCATGTTTTTTGTTGAGCAATAATTTTACCGATCGATCGATTTGGACTTGGCCGGAGAGAAATTTGTGCAAAACCACTGTCAGAATGAAAACAAAATGAAAATAGATGGTTGTTAATCCCACCTGTGAGGTCAATAACTATGTATAATTCACAAATTAAATAGGTTGTGCAGTAAAAACAATACAACTCAACTATTTTTATGTATTATGGATCAAAACCAATTTCCGTTATCTTCGTTAAGTTGTTAAGGTAACTCAGATCAGATCTAAACCTGATATACTCGTTAGCGTTAAAAGGTATTTTTTCGGGAGATAGAGGGGAAGAACATAAGCAGTTTTCACGAATTAAAAAGGAAATTGCCGATGAGATGCCCCAAACATTGTATATTATCACCGTTTTGAAATGTTATAGATGGTATGTTTTTTCGGAGCGCTCTAACGAAGTAAAAGCTCTTTAAAAAGTATTTTTTTTTCTCAATTT